GTCTGAGTAGTTTACAATTTTTCTAATTTTCCACAAAATACTTATTAAATTTATACCTCATATTTTCATTTATATTGTTGTTATAATATGGACAAATTATTAATATATTATCTTTTAGTAGTGTTCAGTAGCTCCTGCTGCTTTATATTTTCCTTTGAAACTGCATGTTTTCCAAATATATGGAATCATACTTTTTGTCAATAGTGAAAATAATTTTCCACTTTCTTTACAATTTTAATCATTTAATCTCATCTAATTGTACTCACTGGTATGTTAAGAACAATACCACCCAAAGGCAGCTTTGTCTTCTCTTCGCTGTAAAGTATCAATAATACACGTTCTATCATGCCAGTATACTGACGTTGTTATAACATTTTGAATAAAAATGCATGACAACAAAAAGCTATATTATATTCCAGTCCTTCCATGAATCTTCTGAATATTATGTGAGTACTGAATCTGCCAAATCTCATAGCGTTCAGATATCTTGCCCCAAGTCTGAATGAAAACATGACAAGTATTCTATTTTATTTCATAGTTTCTTTGAAAGGTATTTAAAAACTTTTTTTAAATTAAAGTTACACTGGATGGTAACACTATGATTTATAAATATAGGACCCCACCTCTTCAGGTGTATGCCCCCACGCCACACCCACTGAGGCACCTGTAGTCCTCCACTGAGGTATTTTTAATCATTGGTGTATTCAATGTTTATTTGATGTGGAAATAACAAAACATAATGGTTTACAGAAAAGATATATGTTTTTTTTAAAACATAACAACAGCATGAAGCTGGCAGAAGTGTTCAATATCACAACAGTTCTGTTTTTATTTCTGTAAAAAAATATCTTTCTGTATAGGTATTTCACTAATTTAGTAAATACGTGCCCAAATATTTCTGTGCTCTCATTTTGTGATTTCCTTCTTTTCCTCTTACATTTAAAACTTACATGTTTAAAACTTTACAAATAAATGAGCTGAAACAAATAAAATTCAATTCACTTGAGATTTTGAAGACATATGGTAGAGTTCTTTTCTGAGTAATTAGACCAAGAGGTGGGACAATTCCCTGAAGTAAGTTGTAGGATGCCCAGTTATTTCTATAGTCATCAGTTTGTGTACATATTCATTCACAATTTGACAAAAACAATTATGTAGAGCTAACACCTGATATTCTAAGACTATTTGTGTTGTGTAAGTATATGGTGTCACATGCTTTTTAAAAGGATGCCTCTTTTCAGTACTCTCATAGCTCATTCTATTTCTTTAAAAAAAAAAAAAAAGATTTATTGGGCCTCCCCTGGTGGCACAGGTGGTTGATTGCCGCGCTATGAAGCTGTCCGCAGCCTCTGCAGCGCCGGTTCTATCCCGGCCGCCGGCGACGGTCCCACATGGCGCGGCAGACCTCTCCTATCATGCCCGCTGCTCCCCTCAGCAGTGTATTTCGTCAGTCTGCCTGTTCTGTTCCCCACTGTCTCTGGTGACTCCTGTCACCCTCCCACACATCTGGTCTGTACCCCAGTTCTTGTGCAAAATAAATAAAATAAATCTTTAAAATAAAAGATTTATTTATCTATGCATACAAGAACTGGGGTACAGGCCGGAGGTTTTGGGAGTGAGAGAATTCACCAGAGACAGAATGGGGAACAGAACAGGCAGACTGACTGAAATAAATTGCTGAGGGGAGCAGCAGGCAACACAGGAGAGGTCTGCTGTGCCATGTGTGTAGATCCCTGGCCAGCCGGGGATCAAACTTGTGCTGCAGTGGCTGCAGATAGCTTCATTGGTTGAGTCTTAACCCCTTGCACCACCAGGAGGCCTGCTCGTTCTATTTCTTTATGCTCCATAACCTCAATATACCTGATGATGTTACAGCCATTGAGCTTAGATCTCCCTCAAGTACTGGTTAATCTTCTACACACCCCTGGTTGATACAACATTTGTATACCAATATCAACGAAGTATAATTTGGATTTTGAAAACATTATTCTTCTGGTATGTAGAGATATTTGTGAAGAAATAGGGAGATATTTAAATGCTTCTACTTTTATCATATGTAGCCTGGAAATCTTGGTCAGTGGGTTTCATAATATTTAAAATATATGTCTATAATATAGATCTGGAATTTTAAGTATTCTTCTTGCTGTAGAGGAAAAAAAAACATTTAAAACATAGCAAAATGTGTATATATACAGATATGTGTTTTATATATATACACGCATACACACACACACACACACACACACACACACACCTTTTCAATTTAAAATAATTTTAGATTTCTCACCTATCTTAACTAACCCACCATGTAGTAAAATATTGCTCCGTGATTAGAAAGAAAGCTCCTTTATAGTTCATCTAAATCCTGCAGGTTATTAAAATCTATTTCATCCTCTCTATGTCTTTAGTATTTTACTATTAAGGATGATATTTACAGAGCAATGAAGCTAGAGTGTTCTAACCATGCCAGGAGCAAAATCATGCTGATCGAGATCCATTCAGATTGTGGCTAAATTTTTCACCTCTCTTCATGAATCCCACACTGTAACTATTCTCAATTGCTCTCAATTTAACCTTAGTTCAGAGTTAAGCAATTAAGATTAATCTTGGAGTATAAGTTAAGGATACAGGATAATTTAAATCCATAACATTTACAAAGTGTTAAAAAATTAGGCAACTGAGAATCATGCATTAACATTTGACACTTCCATAAACAAGTACAGTTTAAGTGAGCTTGCTCCTCAACTCAGAATATCTAGACCTGATTAAACAGTGCCAAAGCTATGGCTGTAGAATCAAAAGGACAGCACCCAGGTAGAGGATGGGTCATTGGCTGTGGGTTCTCACCAATGCACACAGTTGTAAGATCATTCCGGTTTGGGAAACAGCAATGGGGTTTATCTAATAAACAGGGGAAGCAAAGAGTTTCTAGGGCCACAAGTGACCAGCTATCTCACCCCAGATAGTGACCACAGTGTCCAGAAGTCCCAAATAGAGGACACTCATTCAAAATAGTGATGTCTCATCAATGAGGCCCTGGAGCTTGTGTTACACCGACAATCAGTGGACCAGGACCCAGCTGTAGCTGGAGGTGCTCAGCTGGGGTCACAGAGATGACTTTTTTAGCATCCCACAGCAACAGTCTGAAGGCCAGGCTGGACAGCACTGTCCACTGGACTTGACAACAATGGAGGCAACAGCATTGGAAGTTGGTGATATACAATTAGAAATAGTGTCTAGCTCTCAGATGTGACCTGGGCACAGAGTACCTGTCATCTGACAACAGTGCCGGGCAGCACTTGCCAGTAATGCCAGCCACCAGTGGTCCCCAGGAGGTGGTGTCAGACACCCCAGCATGAACTTGTCTTTGTGAGTTGTTGCCTGGCACCAACAACAAACAGGCCAGGGCCAGGGCCAATAGTTCTGAGACACCAGGCCAGGGCCAATAGTACTCCTTAATTCTAGAGGCAGTTGCAGTGGCTAGCTCTCTGTGATGTTCTTAAGCTTTTTTCTTTGAGGTTGGCTGCTGGATGCTTCTTTCTTCAGAGATCAATTGCTAAACCTTCTTGTTTCTTCTTTTCCTGATGGTCAGGAACAGGATTCCTGGCTGGTTCCTGACCTGCCTTATATCCTCTTTCAGAGTCTCCCACCCTACAAGCCTAATTAGACCATTTTCAATCCTTAGTGACAGACTGGACCATTTATTACCAATTAGCTTATTCTTGATTTTTGATTCAAATAATTAAATAATAAGCTGACTGAACTGGATTGGTCCATTTAGCTCATTCCAAACACCAAATATAAAAGGAAAAACGGTGCCTGCACAGACCCAGGGCAGGCTCATGGGCTAGTGGGTTCCAAGGACACACAACCAGAGAGGCCTTCAGCAGGGATGGAAGTGTTGTGCACCTAGTGCCCTTTCAGTGGAGCTGAATATAACAATTTAAAAGTGGGGGTGGCTGTGGCAGCACTGGGGGTGCAGGGTGGGCTCTGCTGGGAGCCCACCATGTAGGCTGGGACTGCCCAGGCCTTTCTACTGTTTGTTGCTCCAGGGAGCCACAGCCTCTCTGGGGCCCTATGCTCCTCCCTGCAGCCCTGAACCTTGCCTCTGCAGCCACAGTGGGGCTTCATGCCCCAGATATCAAGGCAGGGGAACTGCTGCTGCCTGCTGTCCCTGCTGGCCTCTGTTGGCAGCCAGAACGTCAAGGGGGCCAGTGGTGGCAGGTGGTAAAATGCTTACCACCTTATAGCCTCTTGCACTGCCCACAAGTAGCTTCTGGGTCCTGGTACCTAAGCGCACGGGTTGGGGGTGCTGGCACTCAGATTCAGCCAGTGCTGGAGGAAGCCATCAAGTCTGGCCCACTGAGGTTGCCCTCTGTGTAACCATTCTGCAGGGCAGCCTGGGTACTGCCTAGAGGCAGCACTCTGGGTAGCCTGAGGAAACTCCCACTCTGCCACAGGAGCCTTAGGGGCTCTATATTCAAACCCACCTAGTGTCAGGGGAGGAGGGGCTGCCAGCGGTGGAAATTCCTGCAGTCAAGCTTTAGACTGCTGCCAGTGGCTGCTGCCAGTGGCTCTAGCCACTTTGGTCGTGGCTGCAGCAAAGCCAGTCATGTCCTGTGGCTTGTGCTCCGGGACTCAGGTTTCACTGACACCAGATTTGTCAACCATATGAAATTCAAAGCATCTTGTACTAGTTTCTTGAATATTAATTCAGTCTATTCACTCTCACAATTTATCATATTTATCTTTGTAAGCACGAACCATGTTTTAATTCTAAGTCATTTAAATATAAATCAAGCTTATTCATCATATTTTACTTTGAAATACATGGAATACATAGAAGATCACCAAGTCAAAACCACAGTGATTCAAAGGTTTTTTCCAAGGGATGGTAACTTCATTTTTAATTTTACTAATCAGAAGAACAGTATGACAACATGCCAAAGTATTGAGCAACTGAATCCTAAACTGCAATCCAAATGCAATGGAAAACTCACCGGAGGTTTCGTCTACTCTCTCATCTACTATGTGGTCCTTCTGATGAACCCACTCACTATTGCACTTGAAGTAGATCTGGGTGGCAGGGCTGGCTTTACAATACAGGTTCACAGGTTTATTTTTCACAATATAAGCTTCTTCAGGTTCAATAAGGAAATGTGGCAGAGGCTCAGGTGGATCCGATGGAAAGGTTTCTGGCAGTTCATGAAAAAAGTCGTCATCTATTAAAACAAGAGGAAAGTAGAAAATGTTCAAAATGTATTAGTCACTTGTTGTTTACTGCTACTCTTTTTTAATATAATGACTCATAAGTGATCCAATTAAGTATTTTGAGTGCCTGTTACGTACTATGCAGTATGTTATGTACTATGCAGGTCTAATGACTGATCACTCAATCAAGGACATAGATTATCATTCTCATTTTATGCATGACACAGCTTAGGTCAGAGAGGACAGACAGCAAACCCTGAGGACACAGGTAGTAAAGTAATGGAACTGGGATCAGGACACAGGTTTGTCTCACTCAAAAAATGTGGTCTTCCTAATATATTACTGCATCAATTATAGCACACATTTACTCTCTAGAGTTGACAAAAATCAACTTCATAAATGAGTTGAAAAGTATTAGGCTTCATATGTAAAACTGAAATTCTTTGCAAGGAGCTGACTGAGTAGGAGTGCCAGAAAGAAAAATCAAGGACCTTTAAGTTCAAATTCAAGTCTATCATTATTTTCAAAAGTTGTCACTGTGTTATATAATCATTCATTCATCCAAACTATTTATTGAGCTAAGTAATATGCTAAGTACTGGAAATATGGATGATGATAGCAAGGTAGCCAATAATAGCATCTAAAAATATTCTTTGGGCACTGGAAAACTACCTCAAATGTCACCTGTGTCTTCTGGCTCATCAATCTTACTCTCATTACTGAGTTTTAAGAAAAACAATAATCTCACTTTGCACAGAACTGAAAATTATCAAAGATATTGCTCCCACCTTACTGTTCCAAAAGTACCAAATATACAAAACTTAAAAATCATCCAAGATCCTTGTATACTTTGAGGCATGTTTAACTTGGGTTTTGCATGATTCCAAATTAAAAGTAGAAAACAATAAAAGTGACTTGTAAAAACCCTATAATTATATTTCACCATACTCAAGATAAAGAGTCTTACCAATATGATTTAAATAAGTTAAGTCTGGTAATTCTCTTCCTCTGAGAAACAGAGTACAAAATTATTGTTAATTCCATAAGTTGACTAAGCACCCTGGGTTAATACTTTGAAATAAATATTAAAAGTTTCTACAAGTTCTTTAAATGTACATATATTCAGGAAAAATATGGGATATAGTATTGGTAGTTAAAGACTGGTTGCTCAGATGTTACCTTGAAACTCATTTTACCACTTATTCAGCTGTCACCCGGTTTTGGGAGATAGCCATTGGTAAATTGAACATTTGTCCACTCAGAAATCTGGTCTGGGACTTTTTCATCCAGGTCATGGGACAGCTGTCAAATAGCATTGATGTTCAGTCTCTGCCAATCTGTTCGGCAGTGAAAACTGGCTTCCCTTGCATCTGACACAAAACTAGCTTCCAAAGCTGCTCAACAATTATAAATCTGACACTGGATTGTAAATGATACTTCTTGTAACTAGCTTTCTTTTTCACTTAACTTTCTTAATTTGCCTTTTTTCCTGGCAAGTCATCATTTCTAGTTTTCTATTGTTGAACATCAAGAATGCAAACTGTCAGCTTACTAAAGAATAAACTTCTTTCCTTCAATTTCAGCTTCTTTAGTCAGTATGAAAGAACACTCAAGAGTGCTTAAATAAACATTGCTCAGAAAGGCAAAGGGGTGGGGAACTGAGGTACTGACAGATCCATCAGTGTGAAGCTGATGTCTTAAATAAGCTTTTTTCTTCTGAAGCACTTACTGTCATGTAATAATCAATAAAGTTCCACAAAATATCAGATTCGAATTCTGTAAAATATTAGGTATTGGTTTTACCTATTAGTCATCATAAAGGCAGAGAATGAATTTGATTTTTTTTGCCATTGATGTATAGCCACAAATACACAAACATGTGTATTTATTTCTTAGTAATATATTAATTTAGGTATGCAAAATATATCTTTCTTGTATTCATTGTCTTTGAGGGTGATACCTGTTCCTTTAAAAGAAATAATGGCAAGATATCAGATTACTGTATCTACCTTACATTATTCAGTAATATAGCAAAGGTACTTAAGCATTCGCATGCTATAGAAATATAAATTGATTACTCTGCCTTGCCAAAGCATGTGTCTTTTCCTTCTGGTTATTTTATTGTAAACGATTGGGTAGATTGATGGAAGCTGAGAAAGTCACACATATTTACAACAAAATGAGTTCTGTTAAGATGTCAATGATTTAGCAATGTAGTTTGAAAATGCATGGACAAGCTAACTTTGCATTTCCTTAATTTTTAAGGAGTTTTAAGACAAGAAGATCCCTGTAAGAGAAATAATTACATATCTTGCATTTAAGGCTTCATGCAGTATTATTTTTCAAAATGTTTGTTAAATTTCACTTAATACGCTATTTATTAAGGAATGTTTTTATCATTAGAAATGTTTTCTTCATTTGGTAAATCCAGTGTCTCTATTGTATATCATTCTATTTTCAGTATGAATGTCGTCTATTAAGTTTGATTGGAATATATCTTAACCAACTATGGCAAATTAGTTTAGCAATATCTCTTACAATATACAGACTATTTTTAAGTCTACGCCTTAGATGAATCACCATCAGGAACTATGGCACATTATTTCTAGTACTCAAATTACAAAGATAATTTTCAAGATCCTGAATCAGTAAGAGATGTGTGTTTGGATAGATATGACAAAATGCAAATGGGCTGCTTATCAGTAGGCTCAAGGAATGGTACAAAATTCTTCCCTTCTCTATTTGCAACAGATGGCCTGGGTACCATGCCCAATCATGCAAATTGGCCCAGATAGCAACTCCTCCATCATCAAGTTAAGCATATTAAGAGAACACTTTCCTAGCATACACAAAAATGACAAATATTGGCATTACCTTCCAGATAGAGTGCTATTTTAGAAATTGTCTTTTCATGAAAATTTGTTAAATATTTTTTCTAAAGTAAGTTTCGAAAATCAAACAAGCCAGCCAATTCCCTTAGCCAAAACAATAAAGGAAAACTTTTGAGTAATTAAATATCCAACATGGCTATATGTGCATGTATTTAACAAGGGAAAAATGAACATCTGCAAATCAAGTGATCATCTACAAACACCTCTTCGTGAGCACGTAGCTCCTCTGCCCTTTGCATTTACCTCACACATATATGGAATCCATTTTTCAACTTTGGCAAACAGGTTCATGTAACTATTCCAATTTTCAAAGTAGGAATATATATATAACAAATGCTAAACACTTGGATGAAAACTCTCTGAAGTCAGTGACTATATTGTTTTCATTTTTATGTATAATGCACCTGGACTAGAGTCAGACACATTATATGAAGTCAATAAAAATCTTATAAGATTAGCAATATTGGGCCTCCCTCGTGGCACAAGGGGTTAAGCACAGCACTTTGAAGCAATCTGCACCTCCCTGGCCTGCTGTTTTCCTCAGCAGTGTGTTTTGGTCAGTCTGCCTGTTCTGTTCCCCACTCTGTCTCTGGTGAATCCTCTCACCTACCCCCAAATCTCTGGCCTGTACCCCAGTTCTTGTATGCATAAATAAATAAATCTTTAAAAAAGCAGCAATATCATATAAATGACAACTCTGATCATTCCTGAAAATTTCACTAGGTATTTTAGAGTTTATAGTGCTTCAAATACATTTATAAATATAAGGTGTTGGAACAACAGTAAGATCTCTACAATGGCTGAAAAATTTGGTGTGGCCCACTGCAAAATGAGATTTTTGGGATTATTTGTTAAAAATGTGTTAAGAACTCTGGCTGAGGTGATAGGAAAATGTCAAAGCAATCACAGATCCTTTGTGACAGTGCAGGTCACACGCCCATGAAGTTGGCCCTATCTACAAATGTCAATTACCATGGTATTAGTCTCAATGGAAGGCAAGGGGAATGAAATGAAATTTTCATTAGTGGGTTTTCATTTTAGCACTGATTTGGTTTTTTACAGCTTCCATTAGTTATCAGATATTTTCTAGAGGATGTGGCTTTTCGATAGAAAAATTCAGGGTCCTATCAATTATGTAACAAGTGTTTTTGCAATGGTGTACAAGTGAGGGAGCGTGATTTTTACCTGTCCATGGCTTTCCCTTTGGATGTACTCCTGTGCCCATGCATTATCCTATCTAGAACTAAAATCCTTGCCACACTGAGGATAATTCTTTCTGGGCATTGTAGGACTGCTTAATACCTGGGAATAACAAGATTTGAGATTCTACTATGAGCTAGGAGACTATAAACTAGGATCAGTTCCCAGCAAGTAATTCATTTCACTACACAAATAAACCAACTTTCTAATACTATTATGGTCGTGCTGCAAAACTTGAAGTTGTAAAAGAACAATTTTATTTTTTAGCCAGATCAGTGAGTGCATCTTCTTACCACTGTTTTAAATATAAGTATCCAGTCTCCTGAAGTCTTGGGTGATGATAGGAACTATATTTATCAGCCTTGAACCAATTTGTCAATCTTCCTACTGTAACTTATTTCTGGCAACATGTCACAGTATCTTAAATTGTTATATGTTTTATAAAGGCAAACTTCAGATGCATGTCAGCTGCATTTATACAATTTGAGCTAAATGACTTGATTCATTAAATTGCTAAACAGGTTTTCTACATGTAATTCATTCAAATTAACAGAGTGAAATTTCCAAAGCTGGTTTTGTTCTGTATATTGAATTCAGTATTAACTGAAAACTATAATTATCTCTGATTTAGATGTAACATTATCATTCATTTTACCATACTCTAATACTTGACTTAATTTTCCTCATTCTACCATTACTCAATAATGATATTGTCCTTTTATCTTGACAACAGGTAAGTCTTAGTATTTCTTTTTCTGTTATCGCATATAGTCTTTGTTCTTCCATTTACATACAAGAAAAGAATCTTTGCACTATGTATTATATTTATAGACTTTCATTCCACCTAATTCTTGGCAGGAAAATATTATGCTGCGAACATCAATCTAAGAAGCTTTAGGTTGCTGGTTTTATTACTATAC